ATTCACTGTGGAAAAGAAAGCAGGTTAACTCACCCCCATGATGCTATTATATTCCTCCCCACCAGCTCACCATTTTGTTGTGACACACCCAATTTTGGATATGGAAAATATCAATCATTTTGGGTCAAATTAATTGTGCCTGAAATGGGGACAATGCATGAGTGGTTAAGCCATAATTAAATCCTACCAAAATCAGATAAGCCAGTTCAAAGTTCAAGTACATTCATCCAAAAAATGTAAATTTGGTAGAAACATGTTAAAATATTCAATGGAATGGCTGTTGATCTATACCATTTATGAATAGTTCAACAAACTAAATACTAGAAAGATTTTCCAATCCCATCAAACTATTAACAAAAACTATTAGCCATCTTCATCGAAAATGAAAAGGAAGATCTATGTATTAGCATTAGGCTTAGCTTATTTACCATTGCCTCAAGTAGAAAACACTACCAAAGATGAGGAGATGCCAATAAAGGCATCATATTCAAACCAAATTGTTGACAAATAGCAAAATTCAATTGATCTTCATTAGATTCAAACCATAAAGTAATGAGCGCCGGGTTCAAATACATTCTAAAGGAGGAAGTAATAATTGCCCTTATCCTGACTTGCACCTTTTATTTTCCTTTGCTTTTTCAATGTTTAGATCCAATAATTTCAAATCAAAAGGATCAGCCTCGACCAACATGTAGTCCCCCGGAGACATCATTACAGTTTGTACATGGGAGTTTCTGGTTGAATCATTAGCTTGTTTTGAAGTCAAGATAATAATTAGGAGTAAATTTATTTATTTATTTATTTATTTATTTTAGTTGGGTGATAACTTGTTCATAATGTGCAATTCAGTTAATGAACGTGTGGAAGTGGTCATTTTTTTTGTTTGTTTCTTTCTTCTTTCTCCCTTTTATCAACCTTTATACTTTATGTCATGCTATATTAATAAAAAAATATTAAATTATTTAGCATATAGCATTTCATATATAGTAGGAAGGCTTGGAAAAAGGGTCATCATTGCACATGAAACACCAATAGTAGCATTATCTCTTTAAAACTAATTGTGGCATTAATAATGTATTTGATGGAATATAATCACATTTCTTAGTAAATAAAAGAGAAATCCAAATTCACATTTCAAGAATCCTTTCTTTTTCTTTTTTTTGTTATTGAAATTTTCTACATAATATTCTACATATTAATTCAGTATCCATGTATATGATATGTCAATTTTGACATATAGTAGGGTTTTTTTGCAAAGTGTACATACAATATCAACCGTTAGTCACTAAAATTGAATAAATCTTCTGTCTAATAAAAAATTAAAGACTTTAATGAGTATAATGTACTAATGCTATTGCCAGTATACGATAAATTACTTTTCAAAAAATAAAAGGCAAATTCCAAATATTTAGCTATCAAATTGACTGTATAAGAAGGTATAAGGTACTATCACAATAGTAGCATCTTATAGAAGCTAGACAATGATGTTTGTACCACTTATCCCTCTACCACCATATGTAAATGTCTCATAGAAAAAATAAATGATGATCCCATAAACTCGAATTCTTATTTATAGAAATTCTACAAACCTAATAACTTAACCTGATTGGTTTTGTGAATAATATATATACCTATAAAATAAGGATGGTCCTTTTGCTAGTGCACATTTCATGTCGAGGTCATAGGAGATTTCTAAGAAATATTGTATAGTAGGCATTGGGCTGATAACTTCGCAGTTCATTTTCAATTAAAAAAAGTGATTATGGCAGGGAAGCAGACGGGGAGAGAGAGGATCTTTTTTCACATATATCTTTCTTTGTTGTTTTGCCAAATTCCCCTTTTAAAGGGGGGGGGTTTGGTGACAAATGCATGGGGGAAC